CCACACAAGGAGAAGTTTGTTCGTCTCTGGACAAACCAAGTACTACACTTTGGGAATACAACAACTTGTAGAGTGGAAAGCGCGCACGCCGCATTGAAACAATGGCTTAACACATCCACCGGCTCATTTGATACTCTTTTTATTTCGATACATGAGGAGACTGGATCTACAAATACACAAATCAGGTACATAATTACATGGTTATGGTTTGCAATATTTAAAATATTAAAGTTATGTGTTAAATGATTAAGACAAAAAAAATAAAAAAAAAGTTGCAGTAATGAAGCTTTGAAACCAGACGTTTAGAAGGCCCTGAAGCACAACTCTGGGTAGTTTTTTGCTGTTTAAAGCTTCCTTTTTAGGCGTTTGAAGTCTCTTCAAGCATAGCCCTGGGAGGTTTTTTGCTGATTTAAGCATACACAGTAGACGTTTAGAGTTTCTTTAAGCTGGGAGGTTTCTGGCTACACTAAGCGTAGACATTAGACGTTTAAGGTCTCATAAAGCATACCCCTGGGAAGTTTCTGACTTTTTTAAGCATGCATAATAGACGTTTAGATTTTCTCTAAGCCTAACACTGGGAAGTTTCTAACAGCTCTAAGCTTCTAAACTGGACGTGTAATATCTCTTTAAGCATGCTACTGGGACGTTACCTTGTCTTTCAATATTTGACCTTGTACGTTCATCTTAATTGTGAATTACTTACGAGCTGAATATAATATTTTTATTAACAGGTATGATCAAGAACAATCATTGTGTAAGAGTAATGTGGATCACACGGTACCCCCATTCACATACTTGAGAAATCGCGCATCACTCCATTGTTTGAATTTGTTGTTTAAGTCATTGGAACTTGTGACAAAAGATTGGGGTGACGATACGCCTAATTTGTGTCAACATAAAATGCGAACGACTCATGGTATGCCATGCCCTTGTGAGATTTACCAAGCACTCCAGAACAATACATTCTTTGAACCGCATCACCTACATCAGTTCTGGACAACTCTACGAATCAATTCAGAAGTCAAAGTTCGTCACGAAGAAGGGTCGATAGATTTGCAACATTTTGATAGTCTTGTTGTTGTTGTTAGGTCCAAAGATGACGAATATATTCGAAGGGTAAATGCTTTGCTTGATCCTCATGTCTACCCGGATCAGGGAGAATATAGAGAACCGGATGTAAATGAATAACGTAGAGGTCGACCTGCGAGTAGAGCCTCTACGAGTCGTAACTTGTCTTCGTGGGAGATAAGTTGTCTCGACATCCCTCAAGGGGTTAAGAGTTCATCACATAGTTTCTCTTGTGGTCGTAGTTCTTCACGTGGGCGTAGTTCCTCACGTGGGCGTGGTTCCTCATATGGGCGTGGTCGAGGGACAACGAATTTCCAAAACACTCAAGGTATACAACTTCTATTATATTTTACTTTAAGCTTTAAGTGTAGATGTTTTTTGGGTATACATAAACTTCTCTTTTGTAATTTTTAGGTGGTGGTCGAGAAGCAGTTCTTCTTTGGGAGAATTGTCCTAAGATTCCTCAGTTTATTTTGCCATATGTCGAAGGCTATTTGGACGTTGTTGGCGACGGCAATTGTGGTTTCCGTGTTATAGCCGATTGTGTTTTGAATGATCAAAATCAATGGATGGATATAAGAAGGCAAGTGGTTGATGAGTTACTTTCGTTCCCTAAAGTGTATGAAAAAGTGGGGTTTAGGGATGTGAGCAAAGAAGTTACCCGCATAAGGCATGAAACGAATAGTGCTTGTGGTGTCGATCATTACATGGTTGTGCTTAGTGACTTGTTTCCCATTGCCACCTTATTTAATGCGGCTATAATTTGTCTAACTTACAACGAATGGGACTTGACGTGGACAAACTCTGCTTGTACTGTGTTGCCGATGCGAAATAC